GATGAATTAGTATACGCCCCAAGCCCAAATTTATCTCAGGGCATTAAGACTATCCTGTTCGCGTTTATCATGAATTACATTCTGGAGACTGGTGGTGGAACATACAACAAAGCCTACGAGATGGAGCAACAGTCGTGCCGATTATTATATCAGTCGACAAAACACAACTCTCACTTATATCAGGAGATGTAGCAGCATGGCCAGTCTACGTCACAATTGGGAATCTGTCCCGCGAAGCCCGACGTCGGAGATCGACACCTGGTACTCTTCTAGCTGGGTTCATTCCTACAACTAAGATTCGTGATCCCCTTCTTAAGAGTCAAGTGTATCACTATTGCATGGGCAAGCTTCTGTCACGTAAGTTCAAGCACCACTATATCAGCCTGCACGGTAGAACACTGTTGCTCACTGTCTAATACAGCACTGGAAAACGCGGCTAAGTCTGGAATACTACTTGCATGCGCAGACGGACGAACAAGGCAGTGTTACCCAACTATTTGCGCGATATTGGCTGACTACGAAGAACAAGTACTCTTGACCGGTGTAAAGAAAAATCGCCATTGCACGCGTTGTACCGTCGCACCTGACGACAGAGAGGATTTATGTGGATCTTACCCATGGAGAACAGAGCAATTCACTCGGCTACAACAAGAGAGATGTCTTGATAAAGGACACGACGACTTTGTACATCCAGTTGATTGTTTCGGGTGGAAGCACCATAACTTTAATATTCACGTGTCTTTAGCAACGGATACATTGCACTTGCTGCTTAAAGGTTTAGTAATGAAGATGCTAGACTTTATGCAAGATATGTTGGACGACATCTATCCTGGCAGCAGAAAGACCTGGGATAACAGTACTACACCAGTAACGCAAGAATCTGGTAGTACTCAGTTTAAACGAGCGCTTCCGTCAGGTAATGCATAGTACTGGCCTGAAGCGTTTTAATAACAAGAGAGCATTTACAGAAGTCTCCCAATGGACCGGCACAGAGCAAAAGGCAATCATACAACAGCTTGTGGCTGTCGTATCCCCGTTGTTTGTATCGAAGGCGCCTTTCGCGCTGCATTTTATTCGTGCAGTATGCGACCTAGTTACACTGGCGCAATACAAGAGTCACGACGAGGATACCTTGGCCTATATTCAAGGAGCACTAGAGAGGATGAATGTATTCAAGGAGGAATTTCGAGTGTATCGGCGAACGCTAGGGGAAGAGAAGAACTTCAATTATCCTAAGTGGCACGCGTTGACACATATCATACAAGACATACGCATGTATGGAGCTTTGGATGGTATATGCACTGGAGCGAACAGCGAAGCACATCACATCACTATGGTAAAACAGTTCTACTCTATGACAAACAAGAAAGAGTATATACTGCAAATATGCTTGCATAATTCTCGGAGGACGGCACTACTGGCAGCTGACCATGCCACTGTGGTTAAACAGAGTCGACCGTCCACTACTGTCGACATCCAAGATCGCACTTATTCCACGAGAGTGACACGCCCTCTTCCCTTCCGCAGGGCTCGGATGGTCAATACCAGGAATACAGCCTCATTCGACAAAATTGCCCCTAAGCGAGGTCGCCGCAAACATAGCAATATCTGACTTTACACATGCAGCAGCAGTGTTTGTCCGCAACAAACGCCAGGCGGCAGCAGGCCAACTAATCACTTCTTACGACGAGGACCGTTTGGATGTCGACCCATCTTGGGTTGGCCGTATGAGTGTACAGATTCACCCTTCCATAAAGTGCTGGCGGTCCTCTGGCAAGAGACACAACGACCCTGAACACTGCGACGAGGAGGTTGTAAGATGCGCACCTAACTGGCAACAGACAGGCCTCTGGCGTAGAGACTACGTTTGGGTACAAGAATTTGAGCATGGAGACAATAGACGACAGTCTAGGACGGTGACGGACGGTAGAGTGGTAGCCCAGCTCCACCTAATACTTACAATTATCGACCATACCCGCTACGACAAAGATGGAAAACACATGGCGTATATTGGGGCATTCTCCGAGGTATTGCTGTTCAATAACAATGGACAGATCGACAACACTACTGGAATGTTGAGTGTGCGTCGACGGGCCTGGAACGCAGCCCCTAAACGCCGGACATTGCAAGCTTTTAAGTTTTACGACCTGAGCACGATTATCCGCCCAGTGCACTTGGTACCAAGGGACCTGCCTGATTCAACAACTCGTACTACTATGTCTTACTACGTCAACAACTATATCGACTGGGACGAATACAACCGCCTGTACTCGCCGACATTTGACATCGATTTACTGCGCACGCTACGAGAGTATCGACGGAAGCGAACACGAAATAACTGAGGATAGCCCTTCATACATAATTCACAAATCTTAAAGTAAACGTTAATCGCTTGTGTCGAGTCTCCTTCCTGCATTGAAATTTTCGTCGATGGAGAGATATGGGCGGAAGGCCATGTCTTATGCCCTCGCCGCGTCTCACTCATTTATCCTCCTCGTCCTCATCCCCCATACCTGAATCCATCTCCCCATCCTCCTCTAGATCACTCTTACTCCCTCCAAAGCTCTCGACATCACTGTCCTCTCAACTCATCTCAAGTCCGCTTCGTCCTTCTCCTCCCGCCACGCCGTCCCGTGCGTCGGCATCACAAAACCCGCGGGGATCTCCTGCTTCGACAGCTCGAGATCCTCGTTGACCAAGCCCTTGTACTCGTCGGGTTGGTCGCCCATGCAGCGTGTGGAAACCGTGCTGATCTCAATCCTCTCCCTCCTCAACGACGCGGAAGTCTCGTCGCCCGCCAATGCCGACGCAGGCGTAATGCTGCGCAACAAATCCGACGAGTACAAAGGCCTGGTTAACAAGGATCTCGAGCTGTCGAAGCAGGAGATCCCCGCGGGTCGTTAGCTAGATGATTACATAAGCTAGACTGGAGTTGCGAAGACGCTGCGCGGCATGCGCCCCATCTCCACAAACAACGACTCATCAAGACACGAGCAGCAACAACGACCACCTATACCACGACGGGTTCTCCAAGACGAACGACAGTACTCCACTGTTGACGACAGAATCCTAAATCGCTACATCTTTGCAATTATGACACCACTGCGACAAACACGGGAACGCTCGTCCAGGGACAGCATCTGCGACGCGATGACCTTAACAAGCGATGAATACGAGACACTATATGCAGAAGTTGAGAGAGAGATGAGAGAACGAGCTATATTATGTCAGTCTCTGCGAACGACGACTGCAAAAGAGCACATCAGACAGATAGCGAGGGTGGTTGCGTCACGACAGAACAGCCCGCTGCAAAGTACGGCGCCCGACAGTCGCCTACGTACAATCACGCACTTAGCATGTCCGATGTAATCACAATGCAACACGACGGATGCGCTCCGAGCGACGCAAAATGCGATGTAACCATAATCCTGAGACTGGGCTGCGGAACAATGATGGATATGCTGAGGCTGTGGTCCACAGTGCCGGACAGTCTAACACCGTAAACAACGCTCCTCAACTGTCAACCATTCTGGTAGCTAGTGCACACGAACAGGATCAGATCCTTATACGAACGGACCAACTGCTGTATGTGCGCGACGACCTAGCAACAGAATACAAAGATATTAGTAGCCTTGACTATACACAGTTCATACGGACACTCGAGAGAGAGGTGGGGTTTGAGGATAAACGCAGTGGCATATACTACTACACGAAAACAGCAGATGGTTGGACTCGTATACGAATATCAACGGAAGCACGCTGGCATGGCGCACTGCAAGATACGGTTGCAACGAAACTCTATAGGGCTACATTTGTAATTGAACCATTAATATGATATGCGTCTCAAGAAAAACGTTTTAGGGGGTCCTTGTAGGAAAATTGAGCTGAAGCCTGCGCTGTGCTCTTTCCTCGATGCTACGGACATATTGTATCGTCAGGTGTACTAATAACGCCGGGAACACGGCTGTAATTCAAACAAATTAAGCCGAATAGACCTAACAAGGCAATAGATAAGCGCCCCTGAGACGTGCTGACAGGAATCGACCGTAGGCGACACCGGAGGACAGTCGACGACGGTACATCCACCAATCATACAGCACGGCGGATGACCCCTTGCAAAACCGTACAGGGAGCGCAACAATTTGGGGGTATCTGCATGCCCCAACACACTCTTCGAGACATAACTAATCCTTCGCAGACTGAACGCGATTCTTTACTAGTATGAACCTGCGTACCACACAGAAAAACGCGTAATTATGGTAAAGAATACAAGAAACCAGCAGGTGCGCGGCGGCGTGGCACTACCTCCCGTGAAGAGGGCGCGGCCGCTCAGTCAGACACAAGAGAGCGTGAAGGTCTGTATCGAAGACAGACACTGACACCAATAGCAAGACTAAGAATCGTAGAAATCGAGAACTATGCAAAGCGCAACTCTACCGTCTTTATCACGAGAGACTATACTACAATCAAACTCACAAGACTCAGCAACTTCTACATGGTCTCAAACCCACGAACCTAGAAGATATGCCGGTTCTAATAAAGGGACGCCTGCACCCTCGCGCACCAGTCAATCCATGGAGACTGGACATCAAGCCGGAATGAAAACGATCAGTCGACACAAACCAAAACAGAACACTGCCGCCACGCGGCACACCTCTGCAAACACAGAAGAACGCACTGCGTTCTGTGCAATGTAAGCAAAGACACCACAATCACTGAAGTAGTTCACGTCAACTTACATGCATAAGCCTTCCTTCCACTGTCTCATCCAGCAGACCCGTTTCATCAAATGCCATGGGGAACACAAAAACGCCGGACGAGAGAACCAGTGCAACCTGAACACGAAAGTACACTTAACAAGGCTCGGGTGATATTGTTATCGCAGTTGTTAACAAACGACGGGACGACGCCATGTGGTACACCTGTCAATCCGTGGCTGGACGCTCACAGGAGTGTATTCGCACAGCTGATGCTGGACGCATGGTCAGAGGCTCGGAAAACAGCGCCCCTGCCAGTCCGCTCGTCCATAGCGACCACGCCCTGCAGGAGTGCAGCCCGCCAAGTGAGTACGGTCGCGGACCGTCTACAACCATGGCTGACAGTACTTGTTAGATGTTAGACATGTGCAGCGACCTGCGGACGCATGTGATGAGACAGGCACGCATAGAGGTTACAGCCGCATATGCCCTGAACCATCTCGAACTGCGAGTCCTCAAACCGAGTGAGCTGCTCCAGGATTTTGTCTACCTGCGCCAGGATCCTAGGAATGTGAGTTAATCTAGGACACGATGGCATTAGCTTACGGAGTAATAGCCCGCGTCGCCCCGGTTCCTAAACAGTGCAATTGCGGCCATCATAGCGCGAGCGTTCTACAACAATGGAAAATGGGGTATCGGTGCCATGGCAGGGAACCAGGATAAGTTTCAGTTCCTAAGCGCTAACATGATGGCGCTTGTGGGCACAGTGTTATATAATGCTATCAAAGAGTACCACGACGACGGAACGAGGAAGACAATCCATTTCCACGGTCATACCGTAGAGGGTATGTTACAACAGCACTGAACAACGATAGCTAACATAGTATAGATAATTATAACGCCATCCGCGAGAAGTGGAAAAGGCTGAGCGAGATACGCCGTCTCCTCATTTGGGACGCTTTAAAACAACAAATAGCCATACACGCGAACCACATTGAAAACTCTGGATCTAACGTTACCGTGCCAGACGACCATCACGACAACGACGTTGATGACATTCTTATGAAATGTACAGATGATGAGCGGCAACGATATAATACATTAATAGAAGACTATAATCGCGCAGGGAAACGAGAAGACAACATCCTTACTGTGGATGAGTGCAGAACCGGTCACAGCAATGAGGAAGATATAGAGGCTGACGAGAGAGAGGCAAGATGCCTAATATGACATAAGGGCAAAAGCTAACAGATAACAGGAAGAGACTAGAGTGCGACTGCGCGAATCATCGGGGGAAATACACGATATATTGCTCAGAGAGTTTCGTGGAGCTGACGACTTTACGGAAAGTGTGACACACAACGACGACGAGCAAGTATGGTTTCAGAATAAAGGGAAAGGTTGGAGCATTGTGACGGACAGCACGTGGGACGAGTTTGCTATGTTAGCAGAGGAATACACGATAGACAATCGCATTGTACACGCCCTAGCGCTGACGAAAGACGAATGGGAATTAGAGCCAGAAGACTGCGACGCTCTGGTGGAAAGATACGAAGAAGAGATAAACTGCTCCGACCTGTACAGTACTGTGTAATAGTTGAATAGATAATGCAGGGCAAATTAGCAATCAATAGCTATACAATTGTGTTTCCGAAATGCATCGAGTCTGCTGTAGTTCCTGGAGTGACGACACTGTCTCGCACAGTCGCCGACCGTGCAGAACTGGCTCGCACGTGGTTGCAGATACGAGACTCTATCTCTAATGGCACCGGATTACGGACAGAGTAAGCCTGATAGCTGCAGCTATGTTTGCACAGAGGACTTGGACTGCCTACAAAACATGCGCAACTGACGTAGTCTACCTCTTCTGCTCTTTACGGAGTATACAGAATGTTCAGTATGCTAAGTCTGACGACTAAGCACAGTCGAGCAATGTAGCTACACGGTGCTAAACGGTAGAGGACAGTAACCAGACTGTTCCGACGTCGACCCGACGTCGGAAAAAAGTGACTGGGGCGACTTTGTCGAATCGTCATATCTGTCGAATCGACGGCGAATTGCGGCGACACTACCGACCAGACACTTTTCACTTTTCCTGACGTTGCTGTTAATTCGACAGATATAACAATTTAACAAAGTTGCTCTAGTTACTTTTTTCTAACGTTAGGTTAACGTTAGAATAGTCTAGTTACTGTCCTCTACTGTTTAGCACTGTGTAGCTATATTGCTTAACTGTGCTTAGTTATTAGACTTAGCATACTAAATATTCTGTATACTCTGTAAAGAGCAGAAGAGGTAGACTACGTTAGTTACGCATATTTTATAGGCAGTCTAAGTCCTCTATGCAAATATAGCTGTAGCTATTAGGCTTACTCTGTCTATAATCTAGTGCTATTAGAGATAGAGTCTCGTATCTGCAACTACGTGCAAGCTAGTTCTGCATAGTTAGCGACTATGCAAGATAGTATCGTTACTCTAGAAACTACAGCAGACTTAATGCATTTTAGAAATATAATTATATAGCTATTAATTGCTAATTTGCTCTGCATTATCTATTTAACTATTACACAGTACTAGTATAGGTCGGAGCAGTTTATCTCTTCTTTATATCTTTCTACTAGAGCGTTGTAGTCTTCTAGCTCTAATTCCTATTCGTCTTTCGTCAGCGCTAGGGCGTATATAATATAATTATCTATTATATATTTCTCTGCTAATATAGCAAACTCGTCCTACGTGCTGTCTGTTATAATGCTCTAACTTTTCTCTTTATTCTAAAACTATACTTGCTCGTCGTCGTTGTGTGTTATACTTTCTATAAAGTTATTAGCTCTACGAAACTCTCTAAGTAATATATCGTGTATTTCCTCTAATAATTCGCGCAGTTGCACTCTAGTCTCTTCCTATTATCTATTAGCTTTTGCTCTTATGTTATATTAGGCATCTTGCCTCTCTCTCGTTAGCCTCTATATCTTTCTTATTGCTATAACTAGTTCTGCACTTATCTATAGTAAGAATGTTGTCTTCTTATTTCTCTGCGCGATTATAGTCTTCTATTAATGTATTATATTGTTGCTGCTTATTATCTATACATTTTATAAGAATGTTATTAATGTCGTTGTTGTAATAGTCGTCTGGCATAGTAATATTAGATCTAGAGTTTTTAATATAGTTCGCGTGTATAGCTATTTGTTATTTTAAAGCGTCCTAAATAAGAAGACGGCGTATCTTGCTCAGCCTTTTCTACTTCTTGCAGATAGCGTTATAATTATCTATACTATGTTAGCTATTGTTGTTTAGTGCTATTATAATATACTCTCTATAGTATAACTATAGAAATAGATTATCTTTTCTTATTCTATCGTCGTAGTACTCTTTAATAGCATTATATAATACTGTGCTTATAAGCGCTATCATATTAGCGCTTAGGAACTAAAACTTATCCTAGTTCTCTGCTATAGCACTAATACTCTATTTTCTATTATTATAGAACGCTTGCGCTATAATAGCTGCAATTGCACTATTTAGGAACTAAGGCGACGCAGGCTATTACTCTGTAAGCTAATGCTATCGTGTCCTAGATTAACTTATATTTCTAGAATTCTAGCGCAGGTAGACAAAATCCTAGAGCAGCTTACTTAGTTTAAGAACTCGCAGTTTAAGATAGTTTAGAGCATATGCAGCTATAACCTCTATACGTGCCTATCTTATTATATGCGTCTACAGGTTACTGCATATATCTAACATCTAATAAGTACTATTAGCTATAGTTATAGATAGTCTGCGACTATACTTACTTAGCGGGCTGCACTTCTACAGAGCGTAGTTGCTATAGATAAGCAGACTAGCAGAAGCGCTATTTTCTAAGCTTCTAACTATGCGTCTAGCATCAGCTGTGCGAATATACTCCTATAAGCGTCTAGCTATAGATTAATAGGTGTACTATATAGCGTCGTCCTATTATTTATTAATAACTGCGATAATAATATTACCTAAGCTTTATTAAGTGTACTTTTGTATTTAGGTTGCACTAGTTCTCTTATCTAGCGTTTTTATGTTCTCTATAGCATTTAATAAAATAGGTCTGCTAGATAAGATAGTAAAAGGAAGGCTTATGCATATAAGTTAACGTAAACTACTTTAGTAATTATAGTGTCTTTGCTTATATTGCATAGAACGCAGTGCGTTCTTCTATATTTAAGAGGTATGCTGCGTAGCAGCAGTGTTCTATTTTAGTTTATATTAACTAATTATTTTTATTCTAGCTTAATGTCTAGTCTCTATAGATTAACTAGTGCGCAAGGGTGCAGGCGTCCCTTTATTAGAACTAGCATATCTTCTAAGTTCGTAGATTTAAGACTATATAGAAGTTGCTAAGTCTTATAAGTTTAATTATAGTATAGTCTCTCGTAATAAAGATAGTAGAGTTACGCTTTATATAGTTCTTAATTTCTACGATTCTTAGTCTTACTATTAGTGTTAGTGTCTGTCTTTAATACAGACCTTTACGCTCTCTTATATCTAACTAAGCAGCTGCGCTCTCTTTATAGGAGGTAGTACTACGCTGCTGCGCACCTGCTAGTTTCTTATATTCTTTACTATAATTACGCGTTTTTCTGTGTAGTACGCAGGTTTATACTAGTAAAGAATTGCGTTTAGTCTGCGAAGGATTAGTTATGTCTTAAAGAGTATATTAGAGTATGCAGATACCGTCTAAATTATTGCGCTCTCTATATAGTTTTGCAAGAGGTTATCTGCTGTGCTGTATAATTAGTAGATATACTATTGTTGACTGTCCTCTAGTATCGCTTATAGTTAATTTCTATTAGCACGTCTTAGGGGCGCTTATCTATTGCCTTATTAAGTCTATTTAGCTTAATTTATTTAAATTATAGCTATATTCTTAGCGTTATTAGTATACCTAATAATACAATATATCTATAGCATTAAGGAAAGAGCATAGTGCAGGCTTTAGCTTAATTTTCCTATAAAGACTCTCTAAAACGTTTTTCTTAAGACGCATATTATATTAATAGTTTAATTATAAATATAGCTCTATAGAGTTTCGTTGCAACTGTATCTTGCAGTGCGCTATGCTAGCGTATTTCTATTAATATTTATATATAAGTCTAACTATCTGCTGTTTTTATGTAGTAGTATATGCTACTGCGTTTATTCTTAAACTCTACCTCTCTCTTAAGTGTCTGTATGAACTGTGTATAGTTAAGGCTACTAATATCTTTATATTCTGTTGCTAGGTCGTCGCGTATATACAGCAGTTAGTCTATTTATATAAGGATCTAATCCTGTTCGTGTGCACTAGCTACTAGAATAGTTAATAGTTAAGAACGCGTTGTTTATAGTGTTAGACTATCTAGCACTATAGACTATAGCCTTAGCATATTTATTATTATTCTGCAGCTTAGTCTTAGGATTATAGTTATATTATATTTTGCGTTGCTTAAAGCGTATCTATCGTGTTGCATTGTAATTATATTAGACTACTAAGTGTATAATTATATATAGGTAACTGTTAGGTGCTATACTTTACAGCAGGCTATTCTATCGTAACGTAACTACTCTTACTATCTATCTAATATGCTCTTTTGCAGTTGTTGTTTGCAGAGACTAATATAATATAGCTTATTCTCTTATCTCTCTCTTAACTTCTGCATATAGTGTCTCGTATTTATTGCTTATTAAGGTTATTGCGTTGCAGATGCTGTCTTTAGATAAGCGTTTCTGTGTTTATCGCAGTAGTGTTATAATTGCAAAGATATAGCAATTTAGAATTCTGTTGTTAATAGTAGAGTACTGTCGTTCGTCTTAGAGAACTGTTATAGTATAGATAGTCGTTATTACTACTTATATCTTAATAAGTCGTTGTTTATAGAGATAAAGCGTATGCTGCGCAGCGTCTTTGCAACTCTAGTCTAGCTTATATAATTATCTAGCTAATAACCTGTAGGGATCTTCTGCTTTAACAGCTTAAGATCCTTGTTAACTAGGCCTTTATACTCGTTAGATTTGTTGCGCAGCATTACGCCTGCGTTAGTATTAGCAGGCGATGAGACTTCTGCGTTATTAAGAAGAGAGAGGATTAAGATTAGCATAGTTTCTATACGCTGCATAGGCAACTAACCTAATAAGTATAAAGGCTTAGTTAACGAGAATCTTAAGCTGTTAAAGCAGAAGATCTCTATAGGTTTTATAATGCTAACGCACAGGACAGCGTAGCAAGAGAAGAAGGACGAAGCAGACTTAAGATAAGTTAAGAAGATAGTAATATTAAGAGCTTTAGAGAGAGTAAGAGTGATCTAGAAGAGGATAGAGAGATAGATTTAGGTATAGAGGATAAGGACGAGAAGGATAAATAAGTAAGACGCAGCAAGAGCATAAGATATAGCTTCTGCTATATCTCTCTATTAACGAAAATTTTAATGCAGGAAGGAGACTTAATATAAGCAATTAACGTTTACTTTAAGATTTATAAATTATGTATAAAGGGCTATCCTTAGTTATTTTATATTTACTTCTGTTGATACTCTCGTAGCGTGCGTAGTAAATTAATATTAAATGTTAGTAAGTATAGGTAGT